ATCACATGAAAAGCTCAATTAAGAATATAAAAGCCAGGCTCAGAGCCTGGAGCCTGTTTCAGATTCTATGTCTCCTTCTCTCTCTGCCTCTCCCCTGCTGGCACTCTGTCTCTCAAAAATAAATAAATGTAAAAAAAAATTTTTTTTTTAAAGAGCATGAAAGCCAGAAAAAGAATGGGAAACAAAAATAGGAACAAAGACCTAGGACAACAAATACAAAACAGTATTGAATATGGTACATATTAATTCAACTATATCAATAGTCACTTTGAATGTCAGTGGTCTAAGTGCAACATATAAAAGAGATTGTCATAGTGGATCAAAGGGGGGTGGCTCAGTCGGTTAAGCTTCTGACTTCAGCTCAGGTCATGATCTCATGCTTAGTGAGTTTGATCCTTGCGTCTGGTTCTGCACTGGCAGCATGGAGCCCTCTTTGGATCCTCTGTCCCTTTCTCTCTGCCCCTCCCACCCTCAAAAATAAATAAAACATTAAAAAAACCCCACAAGAATCAATTATATGTTGTCTACAAGAAACCAACTTCAAATATAAAGACACACATAGATAGAAAGTAAATGGATAGAGAAAAAAATACCATGCTAGCACTAATCAAAAGAAAGCAGGCATCACTATGTTAATTTCAGACAGACTAGACTTCAAGTAAGGAAAGTTATCAGGGGAAAAAAAAAGGGCGTTACATAACGATAAAGGAGTCAACTCTGCAAGGAGATATAACAATTCTTTGTATTTTTTAAAATGTTTATTTATTTTGAGAGAGACAGAGAGAGAGAAAGAGCATGCACGAGTGGGGGAGGGGCAGAGAGAGAGGGAGAGAGAGAGAATCCTGGGCAGTGGGGCTCAAACCCACAAACCATGAGATCATGACCTGAACTGAAATCAAGAGTCAAGGCACTTAACCTACTGAGCCACCTAGGCACCTGGAAGATGTAACAATTCTTAATGTGTATGCATATAACAACAGAGCATGAAATTCCAAGAGGCAAAATCTGATAAAATAGAAGAAACAGATGAGTCCAGTATCATAGTTGGAGATGCGAATATCTTGTTCTCAGAAGCAGACAGACCTGGTAGGCAGAAAATCACTAAGGACAGTTAAACTGTCCATCAATCAACATTGAATATCATTGACATCCATAAACTATTCCATCCAACATTCATATTCATATGGGTCGTTCACCAAGATAGACCACATTCTGGCCCACAAAATACTCTTTAACAAATTCAGAAGAA